TGAAAGACAGAGACAGCATGAGTGGGGGAGGGGCAGAGAGAGAGAGAGAAAACGTGAAGCAGGCTCCAGGCTCTGAGCTGTCAGCACAGAGCCTGACGCGGGGCTCGAACCCACAGACTGTGAGATCATGACCTAGGCCGAAGTCAGACCCTCAACTGACTGAGCCACCCAGGAGCCCCTGGAGACATACATTTTTAAGCCAACAGCTTATGAATGATATTTAAAGATGCCTCCTCTAGGGGCGCCTGGGTGGCTCAGCTGGTTCAGCGTATGACTCTCGGTTTTGGTTCAGGTCATGATCTCGGGGTTTGTGGGATCGAGCCCCGTGGCTGACCGGTGTGGAGCCTGCTGGGGATTCTCTCTCTCCCTCTTTCTCTGCCCCTCCCCCGCTCAGGCACATGCTCTCTCTCTCTCTCTCAAAATAAATAAATAAACTTTCAAACATATATACATAAAGCCGCCTCCTCTAGAAGGTGTTGAGTAGGAAGAGAAAAGGGGACAGAACCGAACCCTGAAAAACTCCATTTGGAGGTCAGACGGAGGAAGAGGCAGCCAAAGTCAAAAGATGCAGCCCGCGGCAGTAGGCAGAAATCTAGAAGAATGGTATCCCGTAAGCCAAGGGATGAGAGAGCAGTGGCCCTGGAACACTCCAGGCCCCAGGACTTGATTCTACTTTGCGGAGAGTAAAGCTACAACTGCCTGCGGTGCCAGACCCCAGCTTTCAGGAGCACCCCGGAGCGCCTCCTCTTTCCCGCCTGTGCCCTGCCCCCTGCTGGCCATCCCGGGTATGTGCCTTTCCTCGCATTCAGCCTCCACCCTAGGTCACGCTGACAGCGTCTCTGGGGACCCTGAACACCCTTGCTGACGTCCCGGACAGTGTGGTGCAGGGCAGAGGCCAGAAGCACCTGACCGTTTCGACCAGGAACCGGCAGCTTTTGAATTTCGTCCTCCAGCACCTGACATACACCAGCACCGTGTACCAGCACCCCAGGGTGGATGTGGGTGAGAGCCTGTGCTTGGAGGGCAAAATGTGAAGGGAGCGGGAAGGCAGCCACGGGACCCTCTCAAAGTCTTCCTCCTCCAGGAAGCCCGCCTGCATTTAGCACGCTTGCCTTGCTCCTGTTTCTAACCCTGGATGTCTCACCTTCCCAAGTACTGTATTCCATATTATCCCCATGTTGCCACTGACCCCATAGCATGACTGGAAGGAAAGAACACGTACCTCTCTGTGAGGACGGATCATTCGTGCTGTGTACCTGGAAGCCATCGGGCCCTGTTCCCCGTTATCTGTAGCTCTCAGCTGCGGGAGGGGAGGGAAGCAGTCTGCGCATCGGTATCTTGTCCTGGGCACTGACAGGAAAGAGGGATGTGGGGGAACTCCCAGTCCCAAGGGCAGTGGTTTTGTGTCCCACCCCCCACCCCCCACCCCAGGGATTCCCTGGGAGAACAATCCTTGCCGCCCTGATG